TAGAAATCAGAACTGCGTAAAGTCATAAGACTTACAGGCGATGATATGCCTTCTCCATTAAAGTAGTAGAGGGCCTCCTCCAGTGCCGATATCGACAAGTTCCGTACCCTAGTAGCGAGCGTATATCGCCTCGATAGTGGGTGGATTGCGTATTTTCGATATACATATGTCGAGTGGATGGCGTTTTGTCCGGCGAATGTATGTCGACCCTAGTAACAATTCCATAGCGTGGTGACGGCGCCTCGCTGTGGAAAAGTCGCGATACAATGACCGATTTATAGTGGATTTTGTCCGTGTGGTCGCTATGGAAGCAATGGCGAAAAGTCGCGATACGGCGCTATGCAGCTGCGGGACGCCCTTCCTTAGCGACCTTTCCGTTTTAGCACCTACGAAAGCTCTTTTTCGCACTTCCCATCCTATTTATTACTAAACGAACTACGTAGTTCGGAATGGCAGCTACGGTCCCTAGTAGCAAGAGTATATCGCCTCGATAGCGGGTAGATAGCGTTTTTTCGATATACTCATATCGAGTGGATAGCGTTCTTGTCCGGCGGTTGTATATCGAGTAGATATCGAATTTTCGATATACTCGAAAAACGACGGTAGCGGCACGGATTGCAATTTACACGACCCCATTTCCCATGGAAACACCTCCGTTTTATACTAAATAGACCTATATTGATTCTATCTACCCTTCCCCTCCTCCTAAATCATGTACCGTAGTCTTAGTTACGAGGACAAGCGTATAAAATAGCGCCAAGTACCCTCCACGATCGAAAGTCGTATGAATTGGTAGAAGTATATTAAAAAAAAATAAATATGTACATTATTATTTCTCCTTTCATTGCTCTGTATTAGGGCTATCCGTCATTGAACTTGTGCAGCTGCCCGTTGAAGATCCCGGTGTTGGATCTGCATTAAAGAGTAGTGTATAATTGGTAATTGAGGAACACTTACCGCTGGCCTGGGTGTCGTTTATATTCTTTTGCATCTTTTTTGAAAGACTGTCTAGTGACCTTTTAAGCCGTTTTGTAACGGACACCGAGATCGGCAAGGGTTGCCTTACCGTCTCCATTCCAAATGCCAAAAACCTCTGTGGATAGAACAGTGATCAAAAATTAGTGAGAACGTACCCTTGATGACTCCGTAGGTTGGCGAATCAGATAGCCCCTCCTTCATTTTCCGCCCTTTGAAGTTTATGTGGAGACTGATGTCATCCACGAATAGGGCATAATACACTCTCTTTGTGAAGTCGTTCAGTGAACGGCCGCCAAGGCAGGCCAGATAGGAAACCTAATAAACGTAATAATGCAATTTGCCTGCCTTTACCAATTGACTGCGAACTTCACTGTCCGCAAGTCTCGCGTTTAGTGCACGGAAATCCGCCATTGTTCTTAAAGGGCTGCCTATGGGATTAATGGGAAGCCTAGAGGCAACCGTGGTATTGGTAGTCGGCCGTCGAGAAACAGCTGACTCCAAGTCCCGTTGACCGCCCACCAGACGGCGGAGATTAAATCCAAGATTAAAATCCTGGTTTCGTGACATCCGGGCCAAATGTTGGCACATTACTTCAACTGTGTGCTCAAGGTCCGCCATTCGACCACTAAGTGAAGGTTCACGCCGGACTACGGATAATGTATAAGTTGCATTAGATCTTACCTTCGGTTATGGTGTCCTCTGCGAGAGGAAGTGTATCGAAGGAGTTGTCTCCATCACCACTGGGCTCAAGAGGTTCCTTAATGCTTTATATCAAATTTACTGTTTCTTACTGGCGGTGATAGGCCTTCACCGCTTAAGTAATCGAGAGCCCTGGTGATAGCTGGGCGTCGAGAGCGTTGCAAAAGTCTTCTCTCTGGTAGTCCACTCCTGCTTACCTCTACAAACGCACAGGAAAAATAACGTTAGATGTTGCATTACGTAATTGACCGCATAATAGCTAACAACCACTTCCTCCCGGCAATGCTCGTAAACCACTAACTAAGGTGGCTGTGCGTTTGTAGGGTTTACGAGCACTGTTCGCGAACGCGAAGGGACAGTAAGTGGTCTTCTAAGACACGTCATAGATCTATGACGGTCCAGTTAAGGCTTATTCACCGAGACTCTTACGTGGGCATAACCTAGGACCACTACCAGCTGGTTATGAAAGGTACACTCAATATGAGTGCGCTATCACTGAAAGTTTTCGCATTGACACCTAGGTTATGCCCACGTAAGAGTCTCGGTGAATAAGCCTTAACTGGACCGCTCGTAGCTACCTCAATCTCGCCAAGACGTCTAGCTATCTGCTGAAGAGGTCGCGAAGGGCTCCTCAGCAATTTCTTTAATTTGCCGAGATAACTTTCAAAAAGAAATGTAGAAAAAGAATCAAGTGGACCATGTACCTCCACTTCGTCTGCAATATGTATAAGACTGTGCACATTATAGACAGCATGCTCCTCTCCGTATAAAGCAGTGAATTTTCTGGTAAAAAGTTTGAGCAACCGCTTACAGTAACCTATGTTGTCTTTACATGTGCTCGGACAGGCAAGTAATCGCAAAGCAGTAAACTGCGGAATTACAGAGACTGTCTTTCAACTTTCGACCCTCGAAATTAACGTGCAGGGCGATTTCATCCTCAAATAGCGGAAAGAAAATGCGCTTAACAAAGTCATCTAGGTTATTGCCGCCTAGACAGCTGAGGAAGGACACCTTATGCCTTGTATAGGGAATAAACGGACAACCTACAAGTTGATTTCTAATTCCATTCTCTTCCAATAGTGCATTCAGGTGGCGGAAGTCCGCTCCCGTTCGCATAGGCCGTTTGATAGGGTTTTTGTGGCAGCGGTGTAGCTGCCGGCGCTGGTGGCCTTTGATTCACCTTTGCCTCTATTTCCCGCAGTCGGCCGTGCAAGAGACGGTTACTGTCAAGGATGAGGTTCATCTTTTTAGACAGTCTTGCACTGTGTTGAATGAGCAGGGCTACGGCCCTGTCCAAATTTGCTAGCCTGTCATTCGGCAATGGTTCGTGCCACTCAGTGAGATAGGTCAATAGAAAGAAGTTTTATTACCCTCGACCCGTGTCCTCCATGTTATTTTGGCTCTCGTTTATTTCCTAGGAATCAGAACTGCGTAGTCGTATGACTTACAGGCGATTTGTACATCACTTACTACCACTGGTGTGGATATATCCTCTCCCTCGTGATCTGGCATATCAATGACTGGCGACTGCATCCTATAAATACTGCAGCCCCTTGTGCATGAACCACCCGTATCTGCTGTTGTCTCTGATGATGCGTTCGAGCAGGAATCCGAAACGTCAGGCTAATAAAGCTCTTGTCCCAGCGATCGCGTCTCCTTTTTCAAGTCTAGCTATCTGTTGTAGAGGCCGTGACGGACTTCTAAGCAATTTCTTCAATCTGCCTAAAAAGCTTTCAAAAGGGAAAGACGAAAATGGGTCCAGTGGGCAGTGACGCTCAACATCATCCTCAATGTGCATTAGGCTATGCACATTGTAAACCATGTGCTCGTCACCGTATAGACTCGAAAACTTTCTAGTAAACAGTAACAACAACTCAGAAGATGAAGATGCGATCACTGGAACAAGAAATTTATTTGCCTGACGTTTCGGATTCTCACTCGAATCCATCATCAGAGACATTCGCATATAAAGGTGATGGTGGCACCAGGCGTGCCCTTATACACAAATAACCCATACCCCACCCTCATCCGCTTGTCCCCCTCCATCACCCCGATATTGGTTTCCTTTAAGCAGCACATAAGGAAGTCTGGCTTTTTTTTTAAAAAATAGCTTTTTATTTAAAAGACTTAGTAGTTGTAGTAATCTCTAGAAGGCGACAAACAAACGGCGAAAAAGCTGTACAAAAAAAAAACAGGGGAATCAATGTAATATGTACAATTGGACCAATTTAGGGCTGCGTTGAAGGACCGGCCGGCCCAGGGGATGATTGGTTTCTTTCGTCGTCTGAAATCAAAGAAGACGATATTAACTGCAGTGTCAATTGAAACATTGAATGCCGGCAGAATAGTGGTACAGAAACACGAATTAAGAGATAAAGCCTATAACCTCGTTTGTGCAATCCATCGTAAGCCTTCCTGAAGGCAGTTCAAAAAGCCCTGTCTAGTTGGTACTGGTCGCAGTTGCGCGCAGCGTTCCACACTGTGTAAGCATCTATGTTGTTACATGACATATAAGGAAATTGAATGATGCGCCGACAACAAAATCGTACGGTTTGGATCCAAAGAACGCCCTCTTCCCCTGGGGCCGGCCGTAAAACGTTAGGTGTGGGGTAATCCTGTCATCAAACAGGATACTGGAAGTCCTATCCGCGAAGACGGAAAGAGTATCACCTCCGCTGGCCGTGAGGTAGGAAATCTAGTTAGAAATGTTGAATTACAGGGTATATTTACCGCTTGCTGTCTGAACTTCGTGTCCAGTATAGCGTTTGTAAAGTCATCCAGCTCCGCCAGGGTAGCCATATGCTGGAAGACAGGCCCGTGAGGTGCTTGAGTGGCCGCAGCAACACCCATGTCCCTGGCGGCTGTCGTAGAGGATATCTAATTTAACCTTCATGCCCTCTATGGTCTTTGCCGTGTGGATCAAATTTTCCATGATCCAGCGCAGGCAGACTTTCAACGTATTCTTCCTGCGCCTCCTTGATGGCGAGGTGTGGCGTCGACGCTTTCGATGCCGTCTGCTAGTGCCTACGGCGAACAGGTCAGTTGAGAAGACGAATACCTGCGTGTGGAGACCCGCCTAAGGGCATGGTCGCACTCGAGTCACTGCGATCGGTATCCGACTTCTGAACTGGAGGGATTGTTAGTTAAGTCGCAGTCCTACTGAAGACGAGGAGAGTAGGGGGAAGGTCCACATCCACCCTTCTTTTCATACGGATTTTTGGCCGATCGTTTCGGCTGCTTCGCTCTACTTTCTTCCTCGCTGCTGGACATAGCAATCTGCAACGCAGCAGGACAATAGGGTTAGGAGAGTCAAGTCTTTGCAAAAACTCACTGTCTCTCTTCATCACTGTCCACGAAACGGTTGGTGAGGGACTGTTGGGTTGCAGATTTCGTGGATAGTGACCGATGTATAAGCAAGTATCTACCCTTTATCACCTCATACACATGTGAACCACACAGCCCTTCTTTGTTTTTCTTTCCGCTGAAGTTAATGTGTGTGGTAGCCTCGTCGTCAAAGAGAGCATAAAATACCCTCTTCACGAAATCATCGGTGTTACGCCCACCGATGCATACCGGGAGGTTCGTCACAAAATCCGTTAAGCTTTACCACTTGACACTTTACCTGAGGGTCATGCCGTCCGCAATTGGCCTCCAGGAAGTCGGACTTCGTACAAATGGGCCGCTTTACGGGGTTAGAAGGGAAGGCGGCCTACTGGGGCGGGCTCACGGGAACAGGTTTATTTATATGCTGATGTTTCGAAGAGCTTGGTTGGCTTTCCGTTGTCAAGGCGTAAAATGCACTTAATTGACCAGAAATCCCAAATGGCGTGTCACGTTGGTCGGCCTCGTGCTGATCGTTTTTTCTCTCCTCTCCGCTGCCTCGGCCTCTCGAGGATGGTTGAGGGGCGTTTTGTCTGTGTGCTTTGTGAGTCACCACTCCGTCGGGGGGATGTGATTGAACTAGTGTGGGATGGTCGGTCTGGCGGTTCTTGTTCACCAAATAAACTCGCCGTCGGGCTGTCTCCGTGTGGTTGTTTGCTCCTGAGCTCTACGATTGTGATGACGTAGGCCGTTGTAAGCTGCAGGAGGATCCAGATGTCTGTCAATGGAGTGGGCATCGGATAACCACGCCTCGAGAGTTAGCCGTTCTGTTTTTGTGTTGCCTCGCCTAAGATGATAGCTCGCTGGAGATCGAAAGTATACCCAGTTTCTCCCGTGTGTGTTGCTAGTTGAGAGTTAGGGTGGCAAATTTGTGCTCTTGTAGGCTAGTCTGCAATTTCCGCCCGGTTTCTTCCACATAGTTGCAGTCGCCCTCGTTGCAAATTATTTTGTAGATAACTGCTGAGGTTTCGGCGGGTGGCAATGGGTCCTTAGGTTGCATCAGACGGCGTGGAATTGTTGCCTGGGGTCGGTGGGCTATGCCTACTCTGGCAAGTTGTAACAATCGAGAGACCGCCTCACAGACATCATCGCCTGTTATATGCACGGAAGAGACACATAACTGGTCAGTTAGTTGCTTTTCAAGTCCTAAGTGAACTTGTCTTTAATACAAACGTGAATAGTGAACGAATGGAGGTAAGTTGTTGCAAATTGTTAGTGTGTGCATATGTAAATAGTAAAACAAGGGTAGTTCAACGGGAGCAATCCATGTCACTTATCAAATTGGCGGTTCAGCAGAGCGGATTGGCCCACGTGCCACGGCCATCACGAAGCACCTACACAAAGCAATAATCGATTAAAACACTGGTGGGTCCTTCAGACCTGCTGGGTTGTTGCAATATGAGCTATCGGAGGGATGGACAGTTGTTTGCCCTTGACCAAAACCTCCACCGGCTGGACGGCAAACATCAGAGCCGACATCGTTCCCTTTGCACGAGAAATTACTGGAAAGCTGGAGCCCACGGATGCAACCGCTCTGGAAGAGAAATTCAGCGGATTCGACGCTCTAAATTCGAAGTGAGTAGGAAGGATCATTCACTATAATATTACCCTTAGCGTCATTGAGTTGACAGAAACAAAATAACGGGGTCTTTGGCCGCATTTACCGGAGAAGTAAATAAGACTTCGCAGCGGCCACTGCGCCGCTAGTGAGTGGGTTAGAACTGTAAATACTTTACAACAAGCGTTGTTGGAGAAGACGCTGCAGTTGATAACTCAACGCCTCGAAGAGAAT